TGGGCGGGAAGGGCATTGGCAGCAGCAGGAACGAGCCCGAAGACCGCGTCTGCTGCTGCTGCTGTGAGGAGGAGCCTGATGTGATTTGCGGTCTGCAGGAGGTAGCAGGGGAGGTCGATTGTGGAAAGGAAGGTGCTACATGTAGATGACAACAAGGAGAATGGTTTGCGGCTGTTGTAGGCAGGGCTGGAGGGGCTTTGAAAGGATAAATGTCTCGTAGCGGTCAAGCTACAGCTGGATCACCACCCGAAACCTTGAAGATTGCCACCATCTTGGACGAGTTGCAACCAAAGCACCTTCTCTTTGTCGGGTACAACTCTCGGAGGGGAAGAATGCCTCAAAGGTAACAACTGAAATCAACAATCATGAAAAATTTCCTCCCTTTAACAAACATGTATAACAACCAAAGCACCTTCTCTTTGTCGGGTACAGCTCTCGGAGGGGAAGAACGCCTCAAAGGTAACAACTGAAATCAACACTCATGAAAAATTTCCTCCCTTTAACAAACATGTATAGTAAGAGGGGGTTAGTGGATAGTTTGGACAAGTGGTGGAATAGGCAAGAAATAGAGGGGTGATGGGAAAGTAATGAATGTGAAATTAGGATAGAAGTAAAAGGCGGTAGATAGGTAGATAATGATTAGGGAGGATACTCTTTATGGAAGCGAGTGAAAATGAGAGAGGAGGAAGCTAAAAAGGAAAGAAAGGGGGTGCGGTTCAGTAGAAAGGGGGTGCGGTTCGGTTCTATAGCAGCGACAGTAACACATCTTTCTTACTGTTGCAGCTACACTATTGTATCACCATAAGTTTCTGATTCAAGGAGGCATTTTGACTTTTTCTTATGTAAGTCTCTATTTACCTAAGTAGATGTGTATGTGTTAAGTTGGTGGATTAGAAGTTTTTTTTTTTTAATTGAGTGATGAATAGGTAACACTGCCGTTGCCAATCCCAAGCCCGGATGAGAAAAGTGGAGGGTTGCGTTAGGTAGTCGACAGCCAGCGTAAAACTTGTCGAAAAAATCATGACATGAATCCTTTTGATCATTGTGTAAGTGCTATGGCGTCCCCTGGAAGCGACGCGCTGTATAGCCTGAATACAGTGAAAAGTGTGCAAGGGCCGCTACACCGGCGCCCGGGTGTAGTGTTAAATAAGCAAGGGTTCCCACATTACGGGCAAATGCGGGTAAAGAAGTTAGTCCATGAAACTAATGAAACTAATATTAGGATAGGATCTTGGAATATAAGCACTCTCAATGGTAAATTAATGGAATTAGTTGATATTATGATTCATAGAAAAATTAATATCTTATGTATTCAAGAAACTAAGTGGGTGGGAGAAAAGGCTAAGGAGATTGATAATTTAGGTTTTAAACTTTGGTATTCTGGTAAGAGTCGCA